GCTGTTAGCGGTGCTGCCGGGTGTTGATTTTCTACAATAGTTAATGTTAATAGAAAGTTACAACTAATATAGCTGCAGCGTGGCCCTACCACGTATAAAATTGAATTACTAGACACCTGAATTACCTACCTACTCAGTCAGACTAATATTTTTTGGTACAGTGATATTTGATTTTGTATGAATCTACGCGAAAGTAGTCGTAGTGGGAAGACATACAGAGGGATATTTGCCATAGTTGCCACGCTTGGCAAGCGGGTTGGTAACCGGCGTTAGCTATTTTTAGTCATCTGTTATCAGGAAGATGCTTCTCCCCAACACCTGGTTCAGTAATCTTGAGTTAACAATTTAAAGCTGAAAATATAATATTAATATTAACATTAAAGTAACCGCATCAAAATTTTATGAGTAGTTCTATAGGTTTTATTAGCGAATATATTACAGGCAGAGGCGCATGAGCGAATTTGCTTTACAATACTTAATAATAGGACATATTTTCTTTTTGTTTAAAATGTACGTGAGGGTAATTGGCTATCTTATGCTTGCAGCATCTTTAAGCTTAAGATTTCAGTTTACGATTTAACAATTGTGCAAAAATAGGAAATTAGTGTTTACCGCATCACGCGACGTAATGTTGATATCTTTTAACATTATTTAGTACCTATGTGTTTTTTTTAGTATGTGAGGGTAATATGGTCACCCAGTTAGTATGGTCACTTTCCTATAACTCAAAAACTTCAGCCTTGTTTGCATAGATGGCTTTGTGATACTATAGCTCTTCATCGGCCAATCAAATAATAAAGGGTCAAAAGGCAGCTGCTTAATCGAGCTGCTTTTTGACAGCTGACGTTATAGTAATTATCTTAGTCGATTTTAGTATTGTGTAGTTTGTTTTTTAAGTTGATATTTCGAAGTGTTTCTAATTATTGCCAAAGCTTATTTGCTATTTTTTTTCTTAATATATTAGTTAGAGTATGCGACTTTGTGTTTTTGTCTCTGTCGCCTCCTTAATTTTGTTCTATGTTCTAATAATATTACGCTCACGTACCTCACTAGCCGGTGCTTATAATTCTAAAAAAAAAAAGAAATAATTAAGTTCGCTGAACTGAATTTTTAGCGATGGGTACAAATAATACATGTATATAATAATTCTAAAATTTAAGCAATCATAATATTTAAAAAGAATTGGAATTGGAGCGTCAATCATTGTGTTCTCTAAGCTGAAATATTTCCCAGCGATATTCTAAATTTTATTAGGTCAAGAATCTGTAAGGAATTGGTGACAATTAGTGATTTAAGAAAAAAATGTAGTGATTAGGAATATGTGGTATATAACTTTTGGATCGACATAAATGCTACGAGATTTTTTTTGTCCTTTATTAATTTGAATATGTCACAAGCAGTTAAATGCTACAACTGTACCTCACCAAAACTTCATACGTGTAACATTTTAAGTAACTTCTCATATTCCAATAAGTTTTTCTTCATAAATTAAATAGATTTTTTTAAACAAAAAGTCATCAATTAGTCACAAAATCTTGACCTGATCTGGAGTTCTTCTACGATATAAAATCTTAAAGCGAGAATCCTTTCATATCAACAGCATCAACCTCGGTTCCGTTAGAGAAACATGTTTCAATCTCGGTATATGAAAGTCACAAATTAGTCACTAAATTTTAAAATACGATTCATAGATATGAGGGCGCAGACAATAATGGTTTTTTTGAGGGGAGGCTGCTATACAAAATCCCCCCTCCCAACCAAAGGATTTTATGTCCTAAAGTATTATGTCATTAATCAATCGTTCTTAATTCACTAATAGTCCCTAATATTTCATTACTTATTGACCTAATAAAAATTAGGATATCATTATAGAGGATTCCAGTATAAAGGACGCCAATAATTAATCAAATAAAATAATATAATATGTATGTTTACTAATGCGTCACTTAAATATTCTTTGATTGAGTAGTAGCATTTTTTAATTTGAAATATCATAACTTTTATTTAAATGCGTGAATATTATTAGTTTTATTCTATTTAGTATTTTCAATGTATTTGTATTTTCTTTTATTGAATAAGGGTGACAAATAGGCACGCAGTCAACTTGATAGTTAGCAGATGCTGTAACCCATAGACATTTACATATCTATATATAGTTGCGCACCTAAGTTGACGTACTGGTACCTGGCACTAGCGCCATCTAGGGGGGCTTCCTAGAAAATGTCAATCTTGAACTTTCCACCAACAGCACCATCTAGTATCGAACAGAAGAATTAGGCTTTCTAGAAGCCCTACACTCGAACTTTCTGCGCCTGGTCGGTCGGCGCCCGTATTTGCTTGAATATTCTGGATGTTTCGGTAGAAAAGGTGTATTTAAAGCCGCAAGCAGCAAGCCGCGATCGCGGCAGTATTGAATAACTCTAGCTCTCTACATTCGCTATAGTACGTGCCAAATCAATTGAGAAAAACGGACATGACCTCAGATATGAGCCGAGTGTCAAAAGGCATAACTTACAAAATTTCAATTTACATGTGATAACAATATTTAAATATTGATATTATTCACACTTCTAGGTCAGCACATATGTTTTGTTTTTATGTTTCTTAAATAGTATTGTCTGTGGTTCCTACAAACATCATAAAATCTTACGGTAAATCGCGAAAAATGTGTTATATTTTATATTTCAATTTATGGTAAGTAAAGCAGCAATTTATTTAATAACAGTTTCATATTAAAAAAATATTTTAAGCAATATAATCACTGTATTGAGCTTTTGCAAATTCATCCCTTCAAAATAAACAAAACGCGCGTTACGTCAGTCCGTTGTAAAAGAAACGTGACAATGGCAGCCAGAGCTGCGTCACTTTTTTGGGCCGGTTCGCATGCACCTAATAAAAATAAAGTTCATATACAACACGTAACATAATTAACGCACTTTGAGAAAGTAGTTTGTTCAGAATCGTTTACCGAATCGATTCCTATCATTTTTTAAATAGGTAATTTTTTATCCCAAAAATAATTAAAAGTACGTAAATTACATTCACACTAAATCTGTACAGTCAAAACAAACTGAAATGGACCGTAACTTAGGGCAATAAGATTTTTAAGAGTGCAGTTCTATTTGTATTAATACTTATTCTGTCATTCAATAAAAATAAAGAAAATGAACTTTATTTCAAGCACGTTAAACGTCTTTGCGTTCATGGATTTGTACTGTGACCACAACATTCTTCCGGAATCAGTCTAACTAATTTGATAAATAATCAGTGCATAAAAATGTTTAACTAAAAATTCGGTGTATGTATTATGATTATAACATAATATACTAATTGAGGTGTCTGAGGGTGTGCGTTAATTACGTTACATATTGTATAATATTGAAAATAAAGTTTTATCTTTTGAATAAGTACGTACTTATTCGGTGTCGTTATCGTTCGAATCTTTATATGTGTTATAAATTAATTATAGTAATAGATGATTTTTTTTCTACAGCGATCTTTTACATAACTTTTTAATAATGGTTAATAAATATATATTATATCAATCATTATAAAAAATAATAAAAAAATCATTATAAATAAAGAAAGTACTACATATAAAAAGTGCCTGTATATTGAAGGTTTGTAGCCCCTGGTTAAACGACCGAAAGGTCATTGTCCGTTTTTCTCAATCGATTTGGCACGTACTATATACGTTTTTATTCTATGTGAGCATGATCCTTCCGCAGCCGAGCCACGGTAATAATATCTATACAGTATGGTAACTCGGCCGTATCTTTGAAATAAATGCCTACAGCCGCGCCGTACGTAAACATGCGATAGGGCTGCCTGCCTCCAGCATTTTAATTACATTTGTCTACTTTGTGTTTCCATTTAGTTTTGTGATTGTAAATATACTTTTCTCATTCTCATTCTGTTGTGAATGCCCTCGACTTTGACATTTTAACATTTCATACAAGTTAAGCATTACGTGGAATAGGGGTGACGAGTAAGTAAGTACCTGTGTGTTAACAACTTTGGATAATAATCGTAAGTTGTTTCTGTTATCGAAATCAGCCAGAAAAATTTCCGTAACTTTATTCTGAATCATCAGTTTTATGCTTATTTGATGCTGCTCGGCATTGAAAACATTTCTAAAAGGTAATATGTATGGTAATATGGAGCAGTTAGTTCGACACGCTGCTCCAGTTTGTGTTAACGGAACCCACATATCCACAAAATGTTTTATTATTTCTCATTTTTTTATATGATAGGCTGACAAACGAGCACACATTCTACCTGATGGTAAGTGGGCTGCGGCCCATAGACATCTAAATCTATCCCCGATTACGAATCAAAATGCAGATGCATTGTCTCCCGTGAGGAGTTAGATGGAATGTAGAAATTATTCTTTTGCATTAAGCACATGGCAATTCAGCACTTAAAATTGTAATTAATAATTTCAATGGTGACAGCAGGGGCAAAATTCGTCATGTCTGTGCAATTTATTGAGAGTTTTTAGTCAGTAGCTGCAGTAGTTACCACAGCATAGTCTATTTAGTACGTTAATATTTTCTTGATAAGGCTGCCGATGGACACCCTTCCAACTAAGGACTGGGCGGGTTCTAAAAAACCAACACTTTAGAATTTTCGTAATCATAAACATTGTAGTCAATTATGAAATTGTATTTTAATAAGTTTCATTCAGTTATTTACACAGAATTTGAATAAACGCAAAACATAGGCGTTATTTATGTACATTTTCAAATAAAAATTTTGTTTCATAGTTCATAAATAAGCACAAATAGTGTACTTAACAACCTTTGCTTTCTTTATGCAATTAAAAACACCTACGAAAAATTTTCGTTATGTAGTATCTTGTACAAATTATTTAAATGAAGATTAATTTAAACAGCATAATGCATAACTTTAGTCCGTGCAGTCCTTGAGGAGGAAGAATCGGCAGCAGTATCAAGAGAAAACATGTTGTACTTCCACAAAAAAATCTTTACTACAGGAAAATGAACGTATTAGGAAAGGTGGTGATACCAAAGATTAAAGTTACTTGCAAGTATATTGTAAATGCGCTGGAGGAGCGAGAGAGAGATGATTTTTACAGACGAAAGGTGATGTTAGACGTAAAGAAAAAGAAAGCTAAAAAAGAAAATAATGTTAAAGCTGTACCAAAAAAAGATGAATATTGCGATGGATGCGGAGAAGTAATGAATAAGAACTTTTTAAATGAAATAGAACATATTCCATCCTTAGCGCATGATGATAAAATAAAAAAAAATAGGCAGTTGGTGGATTTAAAAGAACATATTAGCGAAATTTTAGAAGTAATTAATACTGTAGATAAAAAGTCATTTCAGGTGCCAAATATAAAGGAGTTCTTGAATTTAGCTCAAGATTTGCAAAGTAAAATAGCCGATAGATTAAATTCAGAACCACTCTTGTCTCAATCAGATCGTAAGACGTGTGAAAATTGTATAAGTAAATTAGTAAACGAGCAATATGAAAACAATATACAAGAAGAAATATTGGACTCTGGAATATTTGAAAATGTACACGAATCAGGATCTAGATTAACTTTACAAGAATCGTCAGAAAATATATCAAAATTAGAACCATATTATAAAAAGCGACTATCGAGTGATATTATTGAGAGAAATTTAAGGATGGGCGCATTTCAGATTGATGTTAAAGAAATAACTAAAATATTAAGAACTAAAAATAAGGATGGAACTATAAGAGAAGAGAAAAAAACTATTAAAATTAGGAAAGAAATTAGGGATTCAACAGCTCGGGATTTAATTCCACTGTATTCTTCTAATAACTCAATCAACTCAAAAGACAATGAAAATTTTATTATGGCATACGACGACCTACCTGGGCCGTCATCAAAATCATCACATTCACACAATAAAAAATAATGGTATTCTTAAAGATAGGATTAAAGGAAATTAATAAATACAAGTTACGATGAACATAAATGCAAGAGAAGGATCAAAATCAAATTTTGCTGTAATAAGGCTTTGATAAATTTTAGCACATTTAATTTTATTTTGGATTAAGAAAAAATATATTTAAACTGTAGATATTGTCATTTACTTTACTCTACAATCGCAGATAATGAAATCATCAAATCAATCAAAATGAGATATGACGAAAATATGAATTGTAGTGATACAACAAATATTTTTTGTATATTTAATTTAACGCTATCTTATATCACCCTCACAGTTCTCGAAGTGTCAAAATCTATCTATATTCAACAGATTAAAAGAAATTAAATAGTTTAGTAAATAAAACAATAAAGTAAATGAAATGAAATTAAACTGAATTTAAGATTTCGTATAAGACAAATCATAACACTAGTCCTTTGTATAGCATTTAAAATGATTTTCAAAACAATTTAGAAAGAATAATGTACACCCAATAACTGTAGCAAATTTTACGATATTAAAATACTTTTTCATTGTTGTCCACAAAATATTAAATATGTTTTTAATATTCAAATAGGACAAATAGATTTCCATTAAATTTTCCCACAGTCCTTAGAAAATAAAAGGGTGGAATTTAGTAGTTTGAAAAGTCAGATGAATAAATGCTAATTTTTTACAGGCACAATAATACCTTTGAAAATCTTATCTTACGAAAGAAAAATTACACTTTTTACGTTATTTCATTACCCTTAGAATGCCTAATGCGTGAGTACTAAAAATATAGGAAAAAAATATAAAAATGAAGAGCTATTTTTAAGTCATCCTGCAGAATACAATTTATTTATGGACGTTTTTACTAATTTATTTTATTTTTATTTACCGAATGTCATAATGTTTACCGAATTTCTAGTGAATATTATTACACTCACAAAAAGTATATTAGAGATTTCAATTTTTATGAAAATACACGAAATAATATTGTCTCGAACTAAAGGAGAGACATACTTAATTTATAGGAAAAATTAAAGAGACGAGGATTGTTTTATTCTAGTATTTGGTACGAATTTTTTGAAAATGGTTTCCGCGTTATTCATGAAATATATGATTAATTAAATATTAATATCGGCGCCTATAAATTTAGTCAGAAAATAATTAGGCCAAACGAAATAAACAAACTTATCAACATTAGAAAATATCATTTTAATATGTCACCCTTAAACGTGTACCAAGTTTCAGAAATAAAAATAAGTAATAAAATGAATAAAAAAGAGATGAATGAATACTTATTGAAAAAGTTATTGGGGAAAATTGATGAGACAGTAGATCTTGCAAAATCCATCACTAACGATTTTATCGCTAAAGATATTGAAAAATTTATTGTAGCTTCTGAAATTATTAAAATCGGTCTCATTAAAACTTCTGAAGATCAAAAAAATCTGAAAAATAGTTTGATGATGAATAGAGAAAGCACAGTAACATTGACTCCAAATAAGTTGGAACTAGACTCAACAAAAACAAGCTTAAATAATTTTATTGATACGTGTAACATAATTAATAATTATAATTTGGAGACAGATAGTGAAAATGTCCCATGTGGCGAAGGTAGCATCATTGATTATCAATGCAGTATAACATGTTCTTGTAGACTAGGAGATAAAAATAAGAATGAAACGTTTATTTCACCTTCTGTAGAGCAAATAAAAGATGAATTAGAAATATCGGAAATATGTCAGTGCAATAGCAAAACAGTCATTACTGAATGCAATAAAGAAAATTGTTGCAATGAGCAACATCTACAAAGTGATATTAAAGAAAACTGTTCAGAAAAAAATATCGAATATTTTGAAAGTAAGGTTCATAAGACATTAAAAGTTAAACGCCTTCCAAACGTAGATGGTACTGTGCAAGAAATAATAGAGTCAATAACAGTTAGAACAAAGAAACACGATCCTTTTGGAAATATTTTGGACACTGAACAAGATGAAAGTGAAGAATTATCATTTCAATTGTCGCCAGAGGAAAATTATGATGAATGAGTAGTAAAAAGATCAACAAAATAAACCCAATGGTTCAAGAATAAAATAACACATCAAATATGTTAAACACCTTTTTCAGACAAAATACTGTCAAGTACACTCTTATGGATATAGAAATTTCTTCTAAACGTAAATGATGAAGAATGGGGAAGTTATACTTAATTTTCTTTGTAAAGTTTTTCCTATGGGTTTTAAGACTAAAATCACTTTTAACATTTTGCATAGCTTTTGGCATTATGTTTATGGAGGTTATATACCTAAAAGCTCTCTTTTAGAGCAAAATTTTACAGGTTGCTATTTTGATTACAAAAGTACCAGTGAAATTAATACGAAACTATGCAATTTATTAATAAATATTTGTATACAGTGATATATAAAACAATATATATTAAATAATATATATTGCCTTGCATGAAAATATTTTATCGAACTTTACAGGAAGGGTGACATTCGGTGGCTTTTTAGTATCTTTAAGGAATTAAATGTGCGGAATTGGTGAGTAGATAGTATGTTTACAGGAAATGGAATGTTTTGTCAAAGATGGTGATTCCACGAATACACCTGAGTATACGATATATCCTATCTGAATTGGAGGAAATAGAAAGGGAAGATAATTTTAGATTGAAGAGATTTAAAGAATTAAAATCGAAAAAGGTTAAAAAGTATTTAAATTTGAAGGACGGTACATATAAGCATGAAGAAAGATTGGCGTCAATACACGACGAAATAGTGGGAGATTATTGTTGCTGTCTTTCTTATGATGACTTAAGAAAAGTGTATAAAAAAAATTTGAGCGATGAAAAAATATGTCAAGCTTCCAATAAGACCTCATATCAATATGAGGACGATATTATTTTACAAACAGAAAAATTAATTAATATACCCAAACAGAATGAGAATGATTTATTTTGCGAAGATAATTTTTTATCTACGTGCTTAGACCTTAAGACTATTTTAGAAAACATTCTCAAGAATAGTGTTTGTGTTAAATGTAAAAAAAATATAAAAATGTCTAGTAAATTATCCGTTTCTGGTAGCATACTAAATATTAATTCGGAAACTGGGGGAAAATTAGGATATTATGAAAGGAAGTATGAAGAGATAATAAAAGTGCTACGATTACAGAAGGAAGATGGACTAATTAGCCAAGAGAAACAAATAATAACTGTAAAAACAGACAAAAGAAACCCAATAAGATCACAGGTTTTTGATCATAATAATAAAGGTAATAATAAAATTTTAAATAGCTGTCAAAATAGAGATGATGATAAGTTGAATAAAAAAGGTGCATACAAATGTAATTGTGAGAATCATGACAAAAATTTCATAAATAATAATAATACTTATTGTGGACTTGGAAATACTAAATCAGAACCAGTGTGTGGCACACAAAAGTGGAATGAGCCTCAACTATGGCCCTGTAATTCTGCTGCTAATATTAAAACAACTGTGGTGTTAGAAGAAGCTTCATCTACCTTCCCCGGCGATGTCACACTTAACTTAATATTCAAAAACGAAAGTTGCGAGAAAATACGGGATATCAACGTAACGAAACTACCTCACACTTCATCGATAAAAATCCATATCTGTAATTTGCCAAAAAGACATGTTTTTAAAGAATCACAAAATGATATTACCTCATTTAATGGTTTAAGCCTGACACGCCAGGAAATGCTAAATAAAGCATCATGTAAAATATCAAGTCAAGTTGTGAAAGCAGGAAAAGATGTGGATACATATACATCTGATATTCTGAAAACATCGCAAATGATCAATCATAGTAGTCAAGCTTTGAATCAAGAAGAGTATATGAGATATGCAAGAGTATACACAAAATTTAAGGATGACTGTACATATGTTGAGGGTTTGCCTCACATATGTAACAAAATAATGACATTACATAATAGAAAACGTTCTGACAAAGACAGAGCTCAAAGCAATTGTATACACAAAAAATTTCCGTACATTTTTAGTAAAGTCAAAAAGAAAAGTTATAGAAAAGCCTTAAATACAGAAGAATGTAGTGAAGTAAGAGATACCGATGGCCTTGTAAACAAAAGCTTCACTAAAGTAACTCCGTTTTCTTACATATTTAGTAGTTTAAGAAGTAATACTATTGACGATATGCTGAACCACGCCTGCTCATATACTCCTCGATTTTCATACGTTCTTAGCAAAGCGAGAGAAAAGAGTTTTTCGACTAATGATAAATCTCGAGAGATCGACGCTATGTTTAATGATGCTTGTAAACGTACTTTCAATTTTACTTATATTTTCAGTCACTTGAAAGATGTTGAAATAGATAGAAAGTTTAAAAGATCTTGTATGCATAAAGAAAACTTCCCTTACATATTTAGTCGTGTGAAAGACAAAACAAATAATCAATTTGGTATAGTCAATCGATATAAAGCAGATGAAATTGAGACTTTGTTTAAAAATGCTTGTAAGCGTCCTTCTGATTTTCCTTATATAATAAACCATTTAAATAGGATTGCAATTGATGGCATGATTAGGAAAGCATGTTCTTACACACCTGATTATCCATACATTTTTAGCAAAGTTAGCAGTGTAAAATCCACTAAAGACTTATATGAAAACAATATTTCGTACTCAATTGAAATGGACGGAATATTTAATGGTGCTAAAACGAATGGTTTTGATAATGAAACTGTGCACAAAGATAAAAAATTGGAACGTAACAAGCAAGAAAACACCATTTCACCCTTAAAATCAATTAATAATATTGAAACCGAAACTGTGATTAAGGATGCATGGGTAAGCGAAAATGACTTTAATTATTTATTTGACAAAAGAGAACACAATTACTTAACAGAATTATCAGATCGAGGAAATAATTTAGGACTTAATGAAATAAAGCAATTGTTCAAAGATTCTTGTAAACGGGATACCAAAACAAAATGCGAATTTAACTATATCTTTCAAAATGTGTTTAAAGATAAAAATAGACAATATAAGAAATGTGATAGTAAATCTGAAAAAGAAGCGAAAGCAAAAAATCATAGTACCGTGAATTGTACGAATTTCATGAAAGAGGAAGTACATTCTCAAAATGTTAGTTCGGAACCTGATTGCTCTTATACATCAAACAGAACACCTAACAAATTACTGTTAGAAATTCCAAGTTCTAAAAGTAGTAGAGACCACATAGGGATCGAAATTATGTGGAAAACAGGCTGCTTATGCGGCAACAATCTTACATCAAAAAGCTTAGTTATCATAAAGTCTCAACGGTCTTCAACAAATTACATAGCAAACATAAAAAAGAATGTAACTGGGACGAAAAGTTGGTGTTCAAATAAAATTATTCCAAAAGAACATAATAGCAAAATTTCTGCAAAAAAACAAAAGGAAGCGGTAAATTTATCTCTTATTCACCGAATGTTGGATTCAATTAAGAATATTTACGTGCCATTTAATAAACCGGTAAATCCTGAAGTTAACAAGAAATTTTCAGATATTTCTTCTGATAAGTTAAACAGTTATACGTCAATTTCTACAATATCTAATTATTCTTGGAAATCGAGTGTTATGAAAATGTGTCAAGCTGATGTGGAATGTGAAGAAAATCATATATCTTATTCTGACATTCTGAGTACCCCTTCCTTGGACTTACTAACTTGTAAAAGTAAAGCTGTTGGCTCAAATTTAGATTCTATAGGATCGTTAAACGAGAATATATCATCATGTGAGATTTTGAACACCTCCATTGCTACGGAAACACAAAACATATCTGATATTGAAATGAACTCAGATACTTTGATTAAAGAAACTGATAAAAGGAATTCCTCAAATACTGCTTTTAAATTTTGTAAGTAGTAGTAATAGTAGTAATAGTAGTAGCTAAACAAGTTATATTACGTATATTTTTGCATTTGCCATACATGCAAAATGAACGCACTTGTAAAATAAGATACGAATCTTCTAGCAGAAAAAAATATATATTTGTATTTCAATACGAGAATATTTTTTTTGTTGATCAGTTTTGTCAGATAAAGATATTTGTGCGCCAATAACCCTTAACTACCTACCCGTGGTCTCACGGATACCAGCGATATTATTTTGTCACTATCTAAGTGTGTGCGCATATGCTTGCGCGTTGTTTCGTGGGTTCATATACCTTCTCCCACTACCCATAGACCATAGAACCGCGTCTGCACTTGCCGAGGAGCTGCCTTTCTTATTGGTCTAAGAGACCCCGGGTAGGTAGTTACGTGATAACGCAATATGTCTCCAGTATTGGTGAACAAATGTAACATATTTAAATATTAAAAGTATCAGGGATATCTATATCACTCAAATACCTATATACAAGATATCGATCATTAGGTGAAAATAAACGATATGTATACCGTTATGAAATTTAAAACTTATTATTTTATTAACGTTATTTCCGAGGTAAATTTTACATTTTAATTTAATCTTACATTCCTTATAAGTTTTTGGTTAAAATTAAACAAAAGGTGTTTTGAATTGAATAATTAATTAATAAATATATTTTGATTGTATACATACACAAATAATTTTTAATTTATGGTATTTAATGCATTTTCACTTTAAATAAAGTAGCATTTATAAAATTTTGTTTTATTTTTGTTTTAGTAATGTTTTATTGTTGAATTTAGGTGTAATGTTTTTTTTTTATTGTTTTAACAAGAAGGTGTTACTTACTTCGTTTTATAAATAAATAATTAAATTTATTTGACAGTTTGTTTTAGTAATTATTAAACGATCTAGTAGACATGTTACAACTTTTAATTGGCGAAAATTTTTAAACCACATTATTGATATTTTCTATAGATTGATTTTTAAAGTTTTTTCATTATCCTTGGAAAAATACATTTTTTTAATACTTGCCGTTTGATATTTTTAGCAAGTCAGATTTACAGTAAGAAATTATATCGAGTATTGATATATTTTTAATATACAATATGTAACGTAATTAATGCACACCCTCATACACTTCAATTAGTATATTATGTTATAATCATAATACATACACTGAATTTTTAGTTAAACATTTTTATGCAGTGATTATTTATCAAATTAGTTATACTAATTCCGGAAGAATGTTGTGGTCACAGTACAAGTCCACTAACGCAAAGACTTTAACGTGATTGAAATAAAGTTCATTTTTCTTTATTTTTATTGAATGACAGAATTAGTAATAATACAAATAAAACTGCTCTCTTAAAAGTCTTATTGCCTTAAGTTACGGTCCATTTCAGTTTGTTTTGACTGTACAGATTTAGTGTGACTGTAATTTACGAAGTTTTTAAAAGATATTCATTTGGTTAAATATTATCTCAGGAAAACAGCCTATGAGTGATTACCACGTTTCGAGCGTATATCTTCTTCTTATATATTTCTGTTATCTGTAACCTCGTTCTTTCAAGTCATCACATTCTCAGATGTTCAATTAATCCTTTTCATAGAATCACACTTACCGGTTCTTTACATGGAATTGCATTGTCCTTCAAATATCTTTTGTGATGTATGGATAAGAAGTCAGTCTGAAAAAAATATTAGTTAAGCCTTCTATGGCTTCTATCCATATTTTTATAGTTCAGGTGGTTAAAATTTAGAATCGTTTGGCAGGAATTTGGGGGAGTGAGGTATCTTATTTGATAGAGGTTTGATCCCCGATTATAACAATACCACGTGCATTAAAAGGTAATGCACCGTTTTCGAGAAAAAGGATAAAAAACTATTAAAACCTTTATAAAATTTAGAATCTTGGCAGGAATTTGGGACCCTCCTCCTATCTCAGGGAGAGGGTCCCAAAGCCTCCGAATCCACTCTCATGAAAGGATCAATATGTCTTTCTTGAGAAAAATCAAAAAGAAAATCCCATAGACCTAACCTCACTTGCGCTTCGCTCCCACCACAACATTTACCTATTTGAACAGAAAGTATTTCTAGGTGCTCAAGTACAGCACGCTTAAATTAAAGCTTTAAAATCTGCAATAATACACTTGAGAGTACACTTTCACGTAGGAATAACAACCAACGGCGGAATGCATAAAAATAGTACGTCATGCGATTTGACACTTGACAGAGTATAGACCACAAAAAAAATACCACAGAAACAATGTGACACTGGTCTTTGACATGGTTTTACGTCCTTGTCGCACTTACACAAAATTCTGTATGCTATCCAGCTTTATACGTACGTTTTATACGTGGTAGAGCCATGCTGCAGTTATATTGGTAGTATAGTTGTAGCACGAATGGGTCGGCTCGACCGGGGAAGGACCACGCTCTCACAGAATACCAGCGTGAAATAGTAGCTTAATGCTGCTGTATTTCGTATGGTGAGTGTAGAGAACCGGAGACCCATTTTACTGGAAACGAGGCATTCTATCTTAGTCCTCACGGGTGACAACGCATCTGCATTTTGATTCGTAATCGAGGATAAATGTAGATGTCTATGGGCCACAGCAACCACTTACCATCAGGTGGACTGTGTGCTCGTTTGTCACCCTATCCTATAAAAAAAATAACAGTAATATTACATACGTTATCCATGTTTTACACATTTTAGGTTATAATAGTTTTTTCTTTTTTTTTTCTTAAAAACTTTGCATTACCTTTTAATGCGAGTGGTATTGTTATAATCGGTAACTAAACCTCTACCAAATAAAATACCTTACTCCCCCCAAATCCCTGCCAAACAACTCTAAATCCAACCCGTTCAGGTCTCCAGGAAAACTGCAAAAATGGTTTATTTAAATAAAAATATATTTTGTCTCATCTAAAAAGTACCAATAGTAGTAAAGTATTGGTAAGCCATCACCAGGCGAGAGCAAAATTAGAAGAAAAGGTATAAAAATACGTATAATGAAATATATTTTTCACAAAATGTGTCTATCCAACCCTTTTTGGGTAATTGAGCGTGAAGTGAACATACACCACAAAACTACAATTTAATTTTAAAAAAATGTTTTAATGACTTATTCGTAGTGATTTATTATATTTAAGCGAACACTACACATCGATTAAAACTACTTTGACGGATTTTATCGCGTTCAGTTTAAATTATTTTTAATTTCCGATGTCACCTCAGTCCTCTATGTGGTGCTGGAAAGCACCCGAAACGTCGGGAATTAAAAATAACTTAAATTAATTCGTAAAAGTAGTTTTAATCAAGATTTATTCGAATATTTTTCATCACCGTATTCATCTATTTAGCTTGTCATTATACCCAATATAGTTTTAAAAGCTACAATATTTCCCGTTTATCGGTATCAGTAAAATTTTGTTACATCATTAAAACTGTTGTTTTTTTCACATCAATATTTCTTTATTTTTGATTCTAATATTCATAAAATATAAATAGTTTCGACTTACTAGGGAAAGGATTTTTATTTTTACCAATTTTATTCAAATTCCAAATCCGGCTGTTTTTCCGACACGTGACATGTAATTATTTTTCAAATAAATTGCACACAGCAATGCTTGACACAAAAATTGGGCAACGACTATGATGTCAAAAGAGATGTGTTGACATTTATAGGTGTGAATTGACATGTTAGTGGCTACACGGGCACCGCCCACTCCACCGTTCTATTGTGTATGTATTATAATATTCTGTGCCTGCACCCATCTTGAGACAAAGAACTGCTAGTCTATACTGACTCTCTATTCTTTTTAGATATAGCAATTCTGCGGCAGATATAGTTAATAGGGTGATTATCCTACCAGACTGACTGCTGTTCAGAAAAGGTTTGAGGTTAAAAATTGTAAATGACCAAAAACATCGAAGTGACAGTAACCTCACGGCAGGGTGCGGACCGTGACTTCAAAGGTCGTAGGATCGAATCCGCCATCCAAATACTGTCGTGAACTACTCCTTACACAAGCATTTTAAGCTTACCAGGAGTGGTTAAAAGGGAATATCAGTAATGTTAATTGCATTTGCATTGATAGTATTTAAAAAAATACCTTAATTAGTACTGAGTCATTTTCAACTAAGTGAGGAAGAGTAGAAAGAGTATAATAATACCCTAAAATATAATAAGTATAAGTAAAGGTAACAAACGGACAAACAGTTCACTTGACGGTAAGTACCCACAAAACCTAATGTAGGTTACATCTTAAAGTTATAGCCTATATATGTGTCCCACTCCTAGGCACAGGCCTTCGCTCATTTATGAACGGGTTTTTGCGCAAGGGCTCGTCGGCCGCGTTGCCTCAATGTGTGTTGGCGAACTTCACATGCCTTCGAATTTTTTCTTATTTCTCAGACATTCAGGTTTCCTCACGATGTTTTCCTTCCATGGTTTACACTAGTGTCTTTATAATCTGATGATGATTGTTCTCCTGGCCGAAAGCGAGAGAAGAAAAGCTATAACACAACTCCTCTCAAGCTGATGTGGATTATATGTGGTCACATTTACATTTAATACTTAAATTTATTTTTTGTCATGTTACCCATTTATGGATGCAGTATTTTTTCCATGTTGGTAATCCTTAAAAAATGCATGTTATGTAGTTTGTGCAGTCAAAAAGCCACTGTTATGTGTTAAGCTTACCGTACCCGATGTGGAAATAAAGGAGTGTGCTATTTTTAGTTTGAACTATGCACACAATAGTATTACGCTAAGAAATACGACGTAGTCGGTCGATCGTCTAGACTGAGTCTGATCGAAATAAAGCGCGACCGTGGAATAATTAGCGATGCTCCGATTGTTGGCATCCTATACCAGATAATTAGTGGATTGCAAAACGACGGACAAGTGTTTTGGACTCTTTATATTATGTTCTTGTTACATTCTGAGCGTGCGCGAGTATTACACATTCGTAATATTAGGGTTGTC